AACTAATAGTTTATACAATATTTAAACAAATAGCGCCACGCATAGCTGTGTCAAAAAGTGAGTATTCCAAATTAACAACAGTATTCCGAATTATCTTCATTTCCTCTACTATACGGTTGATTTTAGGAAGCTCACTGTATAAGTGAATTTGAGTAGGTATTAGAGACACCATTTTTTTTTCACCATTCCTTTAATCTTATCCATAACTACTTAATGTATTTCGGACCTATGCTCCAGTTTAAATCAACATTTAACATCAGGACCCCAATTAAAACCCTATTATAAAAGACGAGCTCCTGACGCATCGACCCAAAGCACCCAACGAAAATTCGAAAACCGAAAGTCATCCGATTTAAGAACAAAGTTCGCCACGTATAATTATTTAGCCACGGCAGAACGAACGGAATCTTCGACGTATTTAAATAATTGACAACATTTTGACACTAATGCGCAACAAAGGCGAGATGGCCGTCCGACAAAAGAGGCACCAGCCTCTACCCATTAACGTAATCTCGAGTTAAGATCGGGCAAAAGGGTGAGTATAATAATAAGGGACCCATTAGGAAACAACCGAATAATCCGTAAGAGCGATTTTAACTAGGTGTATAAAACACGTTTAAAAATCCATCTTCTCTTCTTTTCTTCTCTGGTGCAGGGTCGGAATTAGCCTGGGTGGGTAGATATTTGATTTATGATTTTTCCCAATTAATAATAGTTATTTTTTATACAAGACGTTTAGGTATTTTATCGTCTACCGAAAAGATTAATTTCGGGAGACGATAATGCAATTTTATCGTCGTGTATAAAACAATATTTTTTTCCATAGCGAGTTACGTTTTAAAAAATATTCAGAAATTATTATTTTAAGGAATTTATTACTAGTAGAAAAAAATATTGTGCTGGGTTGGCGTTGGTTTCTATGTAATTTGACAAATCAATAAAGCTGTCTCTTTAGTTGTCAGTTTTGAGTCAATATTTTTTAATTCTCTTTCGTGTCGATTGCTAATTGAATTGGAGCCAGAAATGGCTCAAAACGAAATATGTAAATTACCAACACATATTCAGGCTGATGCGACAAACGCCATATCCAAACTACTTCCATTTAAAAAAAAACTTATATGTTGAGCGGATATAGAATTACACAATAATTTGATTTATTAATTTGTATCTTTTACGGAATAATTTTCATTTTTTACTGTTTTTGCTTTTAAGTTATTAAGTTGTTGATTTTTCTTTATCTAAAGTATTACATATATTGTTAATTTTCATTTTTCTTACTAATTTTTTTTTTCTTTGAATGTTATTTTTTAAGAATGTATTATATTATTTACTTTTTTTATTTGCTCGGTTAACTTAACAGCTCTGCTGAATTTCGCCGAGTAAAAAATAAAGACGTTATTTATTTATTTATTTACTTATTTATTTAAATCCCGAATATCTTATGAACAGGAATACAAAAATTTTCAAAAATGGAAGCAATTAAAAAACGTTTTTTAGCATATTTTTCTGAAAAATCAAAGAAAATGCAGCCATCCAGTTTATGGTCGTACTATTCAGTACTAAAAAGTACAATACTGGTAAATGAAAACATTGATATTTCAAGGTAAGGATAAGCTATACCGTTTAAATTTCCGTAATAGTATAGTAACATCTAAACTTTGCAGATACAGCAAGCTCATGTAGCGGTTACAAACCCAAAAAGTCAAAAATTTTAAACCCAGAAGATGTCGTGAAATTTCATTGCCCTGCTTTTTTTTCATTTAATCTACCCTTGCGGTTAAAGTACTTAAAGGCAGCATAGCAGGCTCAGGTATCTAATAGTCAAATGTGGAAAAAACAATGAAAAATGTCAATGTTTTGTGAATTTCATAACCTATTGTCGAGTTATGTCAACCCATTTTTCTATGGATATGTCATTATACCTATTATACGAGGGAAATGTTATGCACTGAATAAGAAGGAGAGCATTTTAAGCATCTGATTTCTTCTAGCCACGGTTGGGTCACGAAACGTAGAAAATTAATTTTCTACATGTATGCAAAAAATGCGTAGAAAATGTCGAATATGTAAAATATTAAGTAGAAAATGTATGTACTCTAAACTGTATAACATCCGAGTACAAGTTTAAAATGAATTTTTTATATTTAAAGCTGTTTTTCCCTTTACAAGTTTCCTCCTGGGTATATTTTCTTTAAATTTTATATTTGTTAAAACTTAAAACTGTAATACGTGCGTGCGCTGACTCTATTCTCTGACGGTACTAACTACTGAAGATAAGAGACAGTAATCGATCTGAAGACTAGATTATTTTATTCAATTTAATCTGAAGACCGTAGAAAAAATGTCTGATTTTATTGTCCAAGTTTTGGTTCTTTTTTTTAAATTTTGATTTCAATAATAATAATAATTGTAGTTTGTAGTTCTTAGTTTTATCATTATGTTACGTGTTATATTTTATTTACTTGTACCCTTTCAGTTTTATTATTGAGAAGTAGTTTTTGTTCAGTCTATCGATATATTATTGAATCACAATAAGTCGCTGTTTGATCCTCCCGTTGGACAAACCATGTCTATTTCAAATAATAGAAAAATTCATAGTTAACATTACATGACATATTATTATCCATTTGTTAAAGAATAAATAACAATTAGAGTTATTGTTATTAATTTATTTCTTGTACTAATCATTGTGTTAAAATATTTAAAACGAATTAAATGTAAAAATGTCTTCCAATATACGCAAAACTAATTTTCTACAAATGGACATGTAGAACAATTAGTTGGAATAGAAAACACTACACAACATGAAGACACTAGACAACTACTGTATGCCATTAGTTGGCATAGAAATTTAATATTCTACATGTAGAATATACCACAGAATATATAAAACTTTCTACCTACTCAACCCTGCTTATAGCTAATTCTGTTGTACAATTGTACGTTTACATAAGAAGTAAGCTCGGTAGTAAGTAAGTAAGTAAGTACGTTTACATATTGACTTCTAATTCTGTAATAATTAAAATATTTTTCAAACTTGTATCTTTCTTACTATTAAAGTAAGTCTCTACTAAAGTAAGTTACTCTACATTCTTCAATTTTTGTTAAATTAACGTAAAGTATATCACAGGTATCTACGTTTTATCAAATATTAAAGATATACTAGCTTCCACTCATCTTCTTCTGTGCCTTGTGCTTAGCCGCATTCCATCTGTAACCTAGAATGGGAATCCGGCAACGGTCTAAGACACTAGAAGTTTCTCAGGACAACCGAGAAATGTCAAAGATTTTTCTTGATCAAGAAGAACAATCTTGTTGTTGTTACGGGGTTTTTAGCAGGACACTGTTTCCTCAATGAACACTTCATTAGATTGAAGCTAGGAAACAACGGCTAATGTAGATATTGTGGAGAGTATGGGATAACACCAGAACGCCTCATCACTGAGTTCACCTAGACGGCAGCCGTTCGTTCCATAAATTTTGGTACGACTGCTATCGGATATAGAGAACTAACCACTGTAAAACCGTCTCAGATACTGGCTTTCGTCAAATCCCTGAGATTGTATGATGAGTTATAACTCAAGAAAGAAGATCATAATGAAAGCGTTACCCAGACTATATGGCCAGTACGACCCTGCTCTGATGTTAGGTACATTTTGGTACTGCGACGAAGAATTAAGATGAGTGAGCGAGATTAGGGTTATCGGGCGGCCAGATCGACACGACGAATAGCTGGAATTAGGCTAGTTCCGAGATAAAAGGTGCACACAGCTTGCTTTTTTGTTAGTGGTGGGTTGGATATTCGTTTAGTTGGGTATGCTTGTTTGGTGCTAGCAGACGAAACAATTAAATTGAGTACTATCGGTACGAACTTTTTCATCTTTTGAGTCAAAACATTCACTAAAACAACAGAAATTATATGTAGAAAAGAATAAAATTATATATAGAGTAAGATTATTAGTCAAGTTCATAGATTAATGAAACAAGTAGTATTTTATAGTAAATCTCTAAATATGTCTTTGAAAGAATATTAAAAATATTTATTATCTTGTATTTTACTCAGCACTTGAAAAATTATGTAATAAAATGTAACCTCTGTTGCACTCGGCCTTCTAACTTGTCAAATTTGACATTTAAAGAAATAAATTTGTGAGCACTGAGTTAATTGATCGAATTTTGAGAAAGAATGTGTGAAAAGTAGTAAGTGAGTAAAAACAAGATTCTGGATTAAAATGATACAAATTTATTTTTTTCCATAGCAACTGTTAAAATTGCCTTATATCTATCAAAAATAGTAGATAAAATAGTACTTTATCCGCAAGGGTAGATTAAATGATACTTTAACACCGAGGATAGGTTAAAAAAATTATTTCTTCTCGCACGTTTTTTAATTACTTCCACTTTTGAAATTTTTTGTGTTCTTTTTCATAAGTTATACGGGATTTAAATGGAAGTAGTTTGGATATGGCGTTTGTTGTTTCAGCCTGAATATCTGTTGGTAATTTACTTATTTCGTTTTAAGCCACTTCTGGCTCAAATTCAATCAGCAATCGACACGAAAGATAATTAAAATATATTGACCCAAAACTGACAACTAAAGAGACAGTTTCATTTATTTGTCAAATTACATAGAAATCAGCGCCAACCCAGCACAATAGTTTTTCTACTCGTAAAAAATTCCTTGAAATAATAATTTCTGAATATAAAATATAACTCGCTATGGAAAAAATATTGTTTTATACACGACGATAAAATTGCATTATCGTCTCCCGAAATTAATTCACTCGCGATTTCATCGCTTGTGAATAGGGGAGATCGGGGCAAGTTGGCGAAGTAAAATACAAAAGGCTCCAAAACATGAACTAACGGGTTTAAAAAAAAAGATCCCATTTCATCTGTTAGTACATTTATTCAGGTACCTACATAATAAAACATAAAAAACAAAATAAAAGTATACTCTTGAAAAAATATAAAGAAAAAAACAAAAAAGTGCATTTTCGTCAACTTGCCCCAGTACCGGGGTAAGATGACGAGCCTATAGGGGCACGATGACGATTATAAACAAATGTCGCAGGTATATGTGCCATCTTTTTTGTAGGCTGTGCACGGTTCGTGTTACATTGAATCCAGTCTTCTGTAGGAGGCTCAATATGGGATTCCTGGCAGCCAGGACAAAAAATGTCATTAGTTTTCTTCTTCTTTCCTACCTGCTTTTCACGATTTTCTTGAAATACATTTCTCTTGACTTTCACAGAATCAACCTTCCTTCTTTTAATTTCTTTTAAGTTTTTTTCATTGTTTTTTCTTTCCTGTTCTTCTTTGTTGGGTGTTGAGGTGATAACAGAAGCCCTTTGTTTAATTCTTTTGGTAGTTTTTATGGGACGTGTATATTTGGGAAAGGGTCTCATTTCAAGTAGCGTAACTCGACTATCAACATTAGAGATTGTTTGACTGGAGCTGGATGAACTCATAGTGCCAAGAGCTTGTGCTTCATTGTTTTTTGCAGATTTTTTTTGCTGTAGGCCTGAAGGTCCAGGAAGGGACAAATTCATTGACCTTGCCGGCTGATTTTTTTTGGAAAGCAATGGGGGTTCAACATCTGGTGTTTCATAGTTTTTATTCTTTGCAGAATCCATTTTATTCAATCCTGAGGGTCCTGGGAGAATTAAATTCACAAGCTTTTCTGGCTCAGTTTTGTTGAAAACCGCTGGTGGTTTACCATCTTGTATTTCATTGTTTTTTGTTTTGGCTTGATCAATTCTATTTGAGCCTGAAGACCCAGGAACTGCTAGTGGTTCATCGTCACTGCTTAAGAACTCGTTGTCCGCAGTTACGTGCCTCTCACTCACCATAGAAGGCGCAAAATCGGAATCTCCAAAGATTTCAGCATTAAAAGGCTCAATGCCGCAAGCGGAAAAACTTTTTATAGCTGTTCCCACAGTTGCAGCCCTTAGATAAGCTTGCCCGAACAACCTACCAACTTCTTTATCGGTGATTTGTTTTCCCGGGTGGTTTACCAAATAGTTATCACAAGTCTGGCTATAGAAAGTCTTGAGAGGTCCAAAAAACCCAACGTCCAACGGTTGTAGGCGGTGGGTACTGTGCGGGGGTAGTCCCAACATAACCACTCCATTATCCCTACAATAATTGATAGCTTCCAGTGAAGTGTGAGACGAGTGATTGTCAACGATCAACAATACGGGTGTCTCTGTGTTTGGGCGAACAAATTTCACGAAATGTTTAAGGTATAGGACAAAGGCTTCTGTATTCATCCATCCACTGGGTTGAGCTATACCAGCAGAGTTTGGAGGACATCCATTTAAAAGATCTGGTCGCATCCTAACTCTTCCAAAAATAAAAAAGGGTGGAACGTAGCTCCCTTGGGCGTTCATGGCACATACAACGGTGGTGTTTTTTCCACGCTCACCACTAGCAACTTTTGATACTCTCCTAGAACCAGTGGGCGATAAAATCTTTGGCTTTTTATTGGGAACCGTTGATAATCCCGATTCATCTGCATTATAAATGCGGTCAGCAGTAAAATTGTATTTTAATCTAGTTTCTCTAAGTAACTCAAAAAATCTAGTTACTTCAACTTTATTAAATCCGAATAATCGTCCCAGCGAAGTCGACTCTGGGGTCCTAAGACTTATCCTATGTCTACTCATGAACGACTTAAGCCAGTCCGTGCCTGCCAATTTTGTGGTTTTGCAGAACTGATGGTTTATGTTGTTAAGTTCAGCGAATTCGTAGGCTAGTTTTCTAAATTGTACTGATGTAATTCCAAATGCTCTAATACTCAGGTCAGTTAGGTAGGTCACAAACTGAGCTTCCTGAGCATCAGAAAACGTTCTTCTGAATCTCCCACCACTAAGAGGAATTGGTTCGTTGTTATTTTGCTTTTTTATATAACGTCTTAATGTTGCTTCCGGGATTCCATGCTCAATACTGGCAGCATTAACTGACTTATGGTCGTGCAAAATAGAGTGCAACGCGGCAATAAGCACGTCTTCTGACCAAGAGCGTCTATCTGTACGGTGTTTATAAGTTCTTACCATCTAAAAACATCAAAAAATGAATTTAACTAATTTTATACACAGTGGGGCAAGTTGACGAATTCGTCATCTTGCCTCCGTCAACTTGCCCCAGGAAACATTTTTTAGAAAACAGCAAAAATTAAATTATTAATTAAGTGAAATTAGGTTGTATCTTACCTTCTAATATTTAAAATGTCCACAATAATCAAGATTAACTATGAAAGGGGCTTCTATTTTTCTTTAAACCTGCGAAATTGCTTATTTTCTGGAGCTGGATGTTTACATCTAACAGGTGTGAAAAGCGGTTATGATTTTTTAAACCCGATGCAAAACCTATAGCTCCATCTATGTGTAACCCGACGTATTATACACCTAAAGGAATTTATAGAAAAATAAATGGGATTTTTAGGATGTACAGTTTTCTTTAAATCAGTACTTCGTCATCTTGCCCCGTTCGTCATCATGCCCCGACCTCCCCTACCTAATAAAGACCATTTTATCGTCACCCTGTATGTTGACAAAAATATTTTCAAAATGTGTGTTACCATTGCCCAGATATTATAAAACAAAAATAAAATTAAAATCAACCCAAACCAAAATTCGAATATAGACCCACCAAGCAAAAAACCTCACATTACATTTGCAACATTGCAGTCAATCTCCAAACAGTTTGCTTTGTAATGTTGATTTATAAATGTTGTGTCGTGATTGATGAAACCTTGCTACAGAAACATTGTTTTTGAATGGTAATTAAAACGTTTTTTCTGCAACATTGCAACAAACATTCAAATGAAAGATCCGCGCAAGTTAATAATAATTAATAATATAACAAATATGCCATAAGATCGAAAAAAACGGCGTCTAGTTAGCTTGGAAATGAATATCGATGACATTCCCTATATAATTTTACATATAAAATGACAGTGATTTTCTTTTCATAGCTAACGCCTTTTGTTTCGATCATACGGTATAAGTTAGGTTAGCGCACTTGTTTTTTTACGTTTTTGGTATCACGTTTTATGCTTTTCGAATGAGATTTTAACGAATGTAAATGTAAGTATAATTTTATTATTATGTGTGTTTTAATAATGCTTAGCCATGAATAAGTATAACAAATTTTGTTTAGTTTGTTTTTAAGATAAATTTTATGTTTTAGGTTAGCTTTTAGCCAACTTAAAATTGAAGTAGATAGATACTTAAAACAAGGATACGAGTATATCAATCTAATGATAAAATCACAGATAATATTCAGTATTAATTATTCTCAATAATATGATGTTATAATCATTTGAGATTTTTAAAATAAGGACATAAAGTAGCCTCAAAAATTACTGTCACACGCGGTAAGTTTCTCTTAGAAATGATTGGATATAGATTTCAAAACTTTACCGAAGATGAATTTGAAACCATGAATAAGACAATTCAACATGCGAAGACAAAATATGAAAGATCCATAAAATCAATTAAAATATAAGTTTGCCTTTCCTTGTATATATATTTAATGTTATGATTTCCTTTTGTATTTTTGAATAAGAAATATATAATAATGTTTATGCTGTACCTAATATATATTTTGTATTATTTCAGACATTCATCAACTTTAAGATTTTTTTTTAGAAATTCGACTCAGAGGTCAGAGTTGAGTAATTCCTTATTTAATGAGCAGTCGAAAAGATCAGTAAGTTCTCAGTACTTGACAGTATTTTTGATATTTTTGAAACGAGTAAGTGATAAATTTCTAGTTTTTATTTGTTTTTTCAATTCGTTTGACAAATTCGACTTTCTTGGTAGGGATATATTTACCGAGCATTTTTAATTTTTCTAAGCAACTGGATATAGAGATATGCATATTTTTATCAATATTGTTTATGTTTTCGTCAATACAATATTAGTAAAATATTTTATACCTATCTGAAAGTCTACAATTTAATACCCATTAATGTTTCTGTTGATTATAACCTATTACTGATGTATTATTGCGAATATTATTGTTAACATAAAATTGCTAATTTCGCTAATGAAATGATTTTTTATTGCAAACATTATCTATTTTTTGCTATATTATTTTAGCAATAAGTCAGTTAATAAGTTATAACAAAATAGAAAGTTTAATGGATAATAAGTTTTGAAACATAGGTACAATATCATTTTACCAATATTGTATTGACACAAATTATAGGTAATTTGTGGTATTGACATAAACAAAACGTTGAAATTAACAATATTGCTAATACATCTCAAATTAGTACTTTCTTCAACGTCTCAATAATATTGTGAAATATTCTCACGAGGCTGTGACAAGGTTTCAATAAACTTGCATCAACATTATTTTTTTCAACCTTGCACTGCAATGTAATTTGGCGGAAGATTAAGCTACCCTGCCACCTTGCATAAACCTCCCTACAATGAAAAAAGCGATGTTACACCTTGCTTTGCGAAGTTTTGGCAATGTTCCAGCAATAAATTTTGCTTGCTGGGGAGCTTTCTCGGAAGCCGAGTCACCCTGTATTAAATTGAGTAATTTGGGAAAAAAATAGGAATACAATAAAAACTACAATTTATTAAAAATCTTATGTTAAATATATTAGCACTAGGTATAGGTATACTTATTTGACTAAAAATAGGACTATTATCAGTTATTTTTGTTTCTACAAAAAAAACGGCTGCAATTTGGCTAAAAAGGGAATAATAAAATGTTTCCTCTATACCAACCAAATAATTTTATAGAAAAAACCCAAATCGCACCATTATTTTTTCACAATTATTTGTTTTCGTTCTGTAATAAAATGTATAAAATTTAAATAAAACCTAATTTTCGAATATTTAAAAAATCCTTCGCCATTTTGTCATATACTGCATTTCTGTTAAAATTGTAATTTTATGTTGTTTTCGTAGTTTTGTATCAATTTAATAATAACTATCTTTCTTATTATGTATAATTTTAGAAAAAACTTTACTTAGAATGGAGCTATAGTTAATTGTGTAATAGAATTTTTTTTTAATATAAGTACTAAAAATTTTAAATAACTTTTTATATTAATTCACCTTCACCATATTGTCTGCTATTGTCTGTCCATGATTTTGACTTCATATTATAAATGCTATGCAGTGGCGGACTAGGGGGGGGGGAAGGGGCGGTCCGCCCCGGGCCCCGTCTTTTAGGGGGCCTCCGAATCTTAATAAGTAATTTTTTATTCAACTGGCAAACAAGGCCAATATTGTGTTCAGTAGTTATAAAGCAGTTTGTAAACAGTATAAATGGAAGCAGATATTTACTTAATTATCAATTATCAGGTCCCAATAATTGTGAATGGCATTTTCTATTTAGGAAATTAAATCAAGGGATAATTTTCTTTGTTTAAAATATCGAATAATTATTATTTTTTATATATTTTGAAACTGAATTTATTTATTTTAGCTTTTAAGTTACTTTTCAATGGTTTCATTATTTATTTTTACTGAATAAATATTTTAAATTACAACCAATGCACAGCATAACTTATATTCTAGCTTCATTTTCCTTTAGTATAACGGCGGCCACGGGCGTGAGACAGCGAAGGGGCCCCTCGGATCTTGGAGGACTTACATAATCGCGATATTTTGTTGCGGTATTTCCCTGGAAGCATTTTTAAGAAAAAAATATTTAAAATTTTTGGACGAAAAAAACTACCTGCCAAAAAAATTTGTACAGCCTAAAAGTCAAATTTAGTGATTATCACAGCCCCTGTGACATAAAGAAAAGACATGTGGCTATGTATTTCAAAAATTAAATTGTTCAAATGTCATATAATAATGGCAGTAGCTGTCATGGAATTGAGCGATTAAAAAATTATCATAAATATTTTTTTCCAAATGGAAGCCCACTTTTTTATTTCACTAGTGAAAAGGTTTTCCAATTCGTTACGTTTTAACTAGACATATTCCGCCTATACCTAAAATAAATCGATTTTAAGTTATTTAAGATTTAGTTTGAAAACGTATATATTTTTCTTGATTTTATCTAGCTTCCTTTGACATTAAGTGTCAAACAGTCAGACAATTCATTTCCATCTGTCAGAAAATGAATTTTTTGAATTTCCTATATTATAACTAGTGCCTGCTTAAAAGTTTAAAAAGTGTATTTATATAAATATATCTCGTATTTTTAGCTTGAAAATGATGATCGATAATATACTGTTATAGGCATAAGTATAGTCAAAAAGTAACACATTTTAAAAACGAAAGTAACGAAAACATTTTCACGGTGAAATAAAAAAAGTGATTTCCATTTGAAAAAAAAAATGATTTATGATGATTTTTTAATAGCTCAATTCCATGACACCTGCGGCCATTATTATATGACATTCGGACAATTTAATTTTTGACATAGATAGCCACATGTCTTCTTTTTATGGTACAGTGGCTGTGGCAATCACTAAATTTGACGTTTAAGCTATATACATATTTTTGACAGGCAGTTTTTTTCCTCGAAAAATTATAAATATTTTTTTTTCTCAAAAACGGTTAACGTTAGGTATAGAGTGTTTAATATCAAAATTCATAAAATTTTACGGAGAATTTAAGCATGTAATAAAAAATGGAGTCACCCATTTAAAATAAGAAAGTTGCTGTCAACTTCCGGTACTTCCGAAAGTGCCGCCATATTGAAAATACTTTTAATCGATAGATCTCATTGTGAAAAAATGATATGCACAAAATCTCATATCTAGATATTGTAGTTCTCTAGAAACTTCTAACGCAGGCTTAGCCTGGGACATCCTGTATAAATACTTGAATTTTGTCAACCATTATACATACGTTGTTCAATGTTTACAAAATGTGCATTAGAAGTATATCATTATCTAAACAGACCGGGGGCCACAATTAGCTTCGCCGCCCCGGGCCTCCGACAGGCTTAGTCCGCCACTGATGATATGAAATGAATACTTTAAATTATATAAACTTCCTTAATCGGCCTTTTTCTTTTATCCACAACTATCCATTTTTGGAACTCTCGTCAAAAAATAGAAATAGATATATAAAAAAAAAATATCTAAATATTTTTTTCGATTCTTTTTAATATTTAGTTAATGTATTATTTACAATGATTAGATGATATGATAGCATTAAAACTGTTACTTAATTATAATTACCAAATTATATATTTTTTCTAGGTAGGTACACGTAATAATATAATTTATAAACTTCACAATGAATTAAATAAATTATACATTTATTAATCAATATAAAATAAATGATTATATTATTTGTAAATATATTGTAATGAGGAATACCCAAAAATATTAACTCATCGATATAATTTTCGAAAGATTATTTTACGTCAGAGCATTTAATGGAAAACTATATCTCCCAAAAATAACACATAAATATTTCTTATTTACAAATCTAGGATGATGCAACTCTAATCAATACAAACATACGATCAGTACGTAATTCGGAAGAAGTACCAATATGAAGAATGTTGGGGATTCGTCACTAGTA